TGAAATTGTTTTATTGACAGCTGAGGGAGATGGTATTTTTCAAAGATGGCCACACCTGTAGTTAGCCCCACCGGCAAGCTCTTCTTTCCATGTGACTGGGGTTTGTGTTCCCTCCCCTGGAATCCGAACCCGGACTGCCGGGACCAGTGCAGTATGGCAGAAATGAGGTCGTGTGACTTCCCAGGCTAGGTCTAGGCAGAAATATGGATAAAAAGCCTTAAAATGATTCCAGTCCCCAGCATTCAACCCTTCCAGCTGAAAGCCCAGTCATTATGGAGCAGAGATAAGCCCTCCCTTCTGTGCCCTGAATTCATGATCCACAGAACCCATGAAAGAAATTAAATGGCTGTTTTTGTTATGTTCGGGGTTGTTTCTTTGTTTTAACAAAGCAATAGATAAACACAGCACCTCTATCTTTAACTTCCCAGGCACCCAGGTTGTCCCTTAAAGTAGTGCTTGATTCCTTCACCTACCAGAGCCTCTATATTCAAGGTCACCAAGTCCTACCTCCTTCCTTTGAATATCACACTCAATGCCTTCTCTCTTGCTGAGCCTCTTCCAGGCCAAGTAAAAACCTTTTCATACCTATTGCTTCAACAGCTACTGAAAGAAAAATCATTACGATATGTATCCATGCTTAAGCTCTGGGTATGTGTGTGTGTGTGTGAGGCCCAAGATATATAGATATGGGGGCGCCTGGGTGGCTCAGTCGTTAAGCATCTGCCTTCGGCTCAGGTCATGATCCCAGGGTCCTGGGATCGAGCCCCGCATCAGGCTCCCTGCTTGGCGGGAAGCCTGCTTCTCCCTCTCCCACTCCCCCTGCTTGTGTTCTCTCTCTCGCTGTCTCTGTCAAAATAAATAAATCTAAAAAAAAAAAAAAAAGATATATAGATATGGATACAGATTTTAAGAGGTATTTATTTGAGAGAGCATGAGCAGGAGAGACAGAGGGCGAGAATCTCAAGCAGACTCTGAACTGAGCACAGAGCCCAGTGCGGCTCAATCTCACCACCCTGAGATCATGACCTGAACTGAAACCAAGAGTCGGACGCTCAGCCGACTTTGCCACCCATGTGCCCCCCCAAATGTCACAGATTTAAAGCAAACAATCCCACTGACCACTACTTACCACTCTGTACATGTAGATAGTCCACTTCAAAATGTAGGCCAAGAAGCAAGCCAGCAGCTACCTGGGATGGTATAAACATGCCATGAAATGTTTAACACTCAGCAAACACAGTAGAAGTGAAGGTAAACAAAGGTCAGATTGTAGATATAAAACAGAGAATTAATAAAGTGCGGTGGGGAGGGAAGCAGTAGAGAATTCGATCAAGGTTTCTGACCTGGGAGACTGAGTTAGTTCCTAAGTGGAGCAAGTGTGTGACTCTTTTCTTTTTTTAACATTTTGTTTATTTATTTGAGAGACAGCACAAGCAGGAGAAGCAGCAGAGGGAGGCAGAGAAGGAGAAGCAGGCTTCCCACTGAGCACGGAGCCCGATGCAGGGCTCGACCCCAAGACCCTGGGATCGTGACCTGAGCCGAAGGCAGACGCCTAACGACTGAACCACCCAGGCTCCCAAAATACTGGATTTCTTGAATGAAAACAGCAAAAATCATTAACACCCAGGGAAGTCTCCTGTCATTCTTTAGACGAGGCGGCAGAGAGGAGAGTAGATCTAAATTTGGATAAGCGCATGTGACTTAGATCATTACCAGGCCAGAGAGCAAGTTGCTACTTTCTGTACTCACTCTAGGACGTCACTATCATACTTTTTGATCTTCAGTGTTGGAACATTTAAAATCTACACAATTGTGTATATAATTACATGGATGTCTTTTTCTTTCATCAGAAATTCATAAAAGTTTGTAAATCAAGAATCTAAGACTCCAGACTGTCCATTCGTCAAAACAGAAGTGTAATGACATACAAAGTCTATATTGATTTTAGAGCTTAGCATGAGCAATTAGAAAATAAAGGCTCCTCATTCAAAGGTTAAGATACTGAACTCTATGCTGTTCTCAAGCACACATGTTCTCATTCACTCACCCCACATTTGAGCACCTACTATGTATGCACCACACAGGTTTCTTTTTGTATTCAGTTTTAGCAGGCTTGGATCCGACTTTTGATATTTTGGGGGACTCTCTTTGAGAAAAAAAATTACATAAAATTACAAATTTGCCCTTTTTAGTTGATTTTTTTTTTCGTGTTGAGGTGAATGAGTTCTTTATACATTTTAGTTATTACCTGCATGTTGGGTGTATCACTTATAAGTATTTCCTCCCATTCACTGGGTTGTCTTTTTGTTCTGTTGATGGCTTCCTTTGCTTCATTTTGGTATAGTCTTTTTTTTTTTTGGTTTTTTTTTTTTTAAAGATTTTTATTTATTTGACAGAGAGAGAGATAGCCAGAGAGGGAACACAAGCATGGGGAGTGGGAGAGGGAGAAGCAGGCTCCGGGGCGAGCAGGGAGCCCAATGTGGGGCTCGATCCCAGGACCCTGGGATCATGACCTGAGCTGAAGGCAGACACTTAACGACTGAGCCACCCAGGCGCCCCAAGTTTCATGGTTTCAGGTCTCACATTTAGGTCTTTAACCACTTAATTTTGTGCACAGCCTAAGGAAGTGGTCCAGTTTGGGGGCGCCTGGGTGGCTCGGTCAGCTGAGCGCCTTTTGATTTCGGCTCAGGGTCATGATCTCAGGGTCGTGGGATGGAGCCCTTCATCAGACTCTGCGCTCTGCAGGGAGTCTGCTTGACATCCTCCCTCTCCCTCTGCCCCTCCCCCCTCAAATGAGTAAATAAATCTTAAAAATAAAAAACAGTGGCCCAGTTTGGCCAACACCGTTTGTTGAAAAGACTGTCCCTTCCCCATTGTGTATTGTTGCCTCCCTTGTCACAGATTGATGGTACACGCATAGGTTTATTTCTGGGCTCTTTATCCTGTTCTATTTACGTGTCTAATTTTGTGCCAATACATACTCTTCTCACATCCAAGCTTTGGTGTTCCATCTCTAGGGCATGGACAGAAGATGCGGCGTAATTCTTAAGGGGCCCTAGGGTTTTCAGGATGGTACGTGAGCATTGGCTTCAACTTAGTCACCAGCTGCATGAGCCCCTAAGAGTCAGCCTGTCCTTTGAAGCTCTGAGGCATTGACTTCTCTCTAGCAAAGTCCTAGATGGCACCTTCTTCCAGTAGGAGGCCAGGTCATCCACACTGAAAATCTGTTAAGTGGAGCCACCTTCGTTAATTCTTCTGGAGAACTTGCTGCAGCTTGAACATCAGCTCTCATTACTGTACCTTGCACTTGACCTCTGCTAGCTTCAGTCTGCAGCTTCTTTCTCCACTTTCACGAAATTGAAGAGTTAGGGCCTTGCCCTAGGTCAGGCTTTGGCTTAAAGGAGTTATGGCTGGTATGATCTTCTGTCCAGACCACTAGAACTTTCTCTTTATCAGCAATGAGGCTGTTTGGCTTTATCATTCGTGTGTTCACTGGAGTAGCACTTTTGATTTCCTTCAAGAACTTCCTCTTTGCATTCACAACTTGGCTGTTTGGCAAAAGAGGCCTCACTTTCGGCCTATCTCCGCTTTCAACACACACCTCACTAAGCTTAATTAGTCCTAGCTTCTGATTTAAAGTGAAAGATGTGCGACTCCTCTTTTCACTTGAACACTTAAACGCCACTGTAGGGTTATTAATTGGTCCAATTTCAATACTGTTGTGTCTCAGGAACAGGGAGGCCCGAGGAGAGGGAGATGGGGACACAGTCAGTTGGTGGAGGAGTCTGCACACACACATTTGTCGGTTGAGTTTACCGTCCTCGTGTGGGTGCAGTTTGGGGCACCTGAAACCATTACATAAGTAGCATCAAAGATCACAGATCACCGTAACAAATATAATTAAAGTTTCAAATATTGCAAAAATGACCAAAATGTGATTCAGACACAAAGTGAGCAAATGCTATTGGAAAATGAAGCTAGGTTGTCACAAACCTTAAATCTGTAAAACAAAAACAAAACAAAACCCCTCATCTGCAAAGTGTAATAAACTGAAGTGCAATGAGGTATGCCGATACAAAATTCCCGGCCCTGAAAGTTTAATGGTAAATCTATCTCTAGGTTTAGGTGAGTCTTATACCGAGACCATACTTTTCTATCAACTCCCCACCCCACCCCAATCCCTGCTCAAGTCCCAAGCTGAGCTTAAGGTCACTATGAATACAATAGACTTAAGGTCTGTGTCTCCCCCAAAACCATACGTTGAAACCTAATCCCCAAAGGGATGGTATTCGTAGGTGGGGTGCTGGCTGTGAGAGATGACTAGCTCAGGAAGCAGGGCCTTCGTGAATGAGCGTAGTGCCCTTACGGAAGAGACCCTGGGAGTTCTCTCAGCCCTCTTTCCTCCATGTGAGGACACACCCAGAAGTCAGCAGCTGCACCGTGCAAGAGGTTCATCACCCAAACCAACCACACCGACACCTTCTTCACCCTTGACTTCCAGCCTCTGGGACTGTGAGAAACAGATTTCTGTGGTTTATCAGCCACCCAGGCTATGGTACTTTGTGAAGGACACTGTCCATCCTCATAAGCTTATTACTAAACTATCCCTAGCTTTGAAACTTAAATATTTCACAATTTTGCACACACAAACAATTTTATATTTGTTTTTATCTGATATAAAACTTAAATTGTGGTTATGACACGGCTTATCTAACCTGTGAAAGGATGCATTAATCACTTTCAGGTCTGAAATAGTTTATCTTTTCCAGGCATGATAACCTTAGGCTGCTATTATCATCACTGAAAAAGCGACATTCCTGATAGCTTTCGTTATGGACTAAAATTTGAAATCTAAAAGAAGTGGGTTACTTTTCATGTTTCTGATTCCTAAGGCTAAGATTTACTATTTCACCATGAAATGTATAAATATACTTATTACACAAATTTAAGTCTTAAAAACTACTTAACAGTAGAACATCAATATTTTCTGGATAGGTGAAAGCTTTTATATTACACTTTTATTTTGCAAGAAAATAAATTATACAACTTAAAAAATAAAATCCAAAAATTAAGCAGTTCATCAAAATATTTCAGCCTACTCCATACAGAAACTGCTACCATTTAAAATTGTACAGCATTATCATCTCAGTACGTAGCGGCACACATTCAAAACCGTATATACCACACGAAGATAAAGTCCAACTTAGGAACGCAAATTTGTTCAACACTCCAGACGACATATATAGTGTAGATGACAGGAAAGCTCTCAGGTAATGCTGATTTCACAAACATGACCTTGGAAGAGTTTGTAAGATAGCATCCCAGTCATTTACATGAAAATAGAAAAACCGGCTTGAGTTTAAGATGGCAAATCTTTCTGAAAAACTAGAACCTTCACCCAAATTGAATGTTTAAAATTTGCCCTGTGAGCCGGGCTAATGACATCCTACTGCAAATAATGCAAAATACTTTGTAACTACTCCGGTCATATTTTGTATTAAATTCAATAAAAAGTAAAAACAAGAAAGCTAACAGTTCGTTTTTGGAAACTGTAACATTTACGCATAAAATAAGAGTAAGAGACTTAAATAAACAGGTTGACAATGCAGGGACCCCTCCAGTAAACGTAAAAATTGGAAGACTTCATAGTTTATTTCAACATCCTCATTAAATCATGGGAATACGAATGTCCTAATATTTATCGCATTGTAAGCATCAAAATTGTTTCTTTTTACTCTGGCAATGAGGACAACAAAGGTTAACATTTTCCAGATGGCTCCAGCTTTGTATTAGTGTTCACAGTTTAAATTAAGCTGTGGTGCGTCCCACTGCCCTACTCCTGGCAGCCTGGATTCTCCTCACCACCATGGCACCACTTGGAAGTGCAATCAGAGGAAAGGGACTCAATAAAGGATACTAACTGTGATTCCGTACCTTTCGCTAATCGCTGGGAAGGTTTTTATCAGGTTCTTTTTTTTAAATTAGCAAATCTATCATCAAGACACATTTAAAGAAAACTGAACAATGGCACACAGGCACCTCGTCAACTAAATCGTTTTCATTAACACCAAAAAGTAGTTGAACTTTTGTATACATAACAGCAACAACAAAAACGATGAAAACTGTTACGTCTACAGTATTTGCTGCTGTTCAATTTCCCAAAATACAATTAGGACATAATTAGCTATTAAAAAATTTATAAAATTTAATAGAAAACTTGGCTATGGATTTAGAGTTACCCACTTTTGCATTAAACTTTCCTTTATAAATCAAAACATCATGGCTCTCATTCTTAAAATGACCAAAAAGATGAGAAATTCCAAACCTGTTCTGAGAACAATTATGGTTTAAAGGAACAAATCTGAAACTTTAAAAAATGACCTGTAATTCTCCCTTCCACTGTTTTCCCTTGGGCATTCGAATATGGGAGAAGCAAATATGCCCAATCCTGAACTATTTGTTAAATGTAAGGGCCACAATTATAACAAATTATTTTTTTTTAATTTCAAATATATCCATCGTCCGCAGTCATCAATTTAGTTTAATTCTCCACAATGCACTCGGTCTAATAACGGACACATGCTGCCCCCAGAGCTAAATGTAAGATTTTAAATTAGAAACAAAATTCCAATTTCCTATGAGTTGCAGAACAGGCATGTGAATATACCCAGCGATACCTTCCATGTTTTGAATTTGCTCTCCTTCCTTTCAGCAGGCAGCTCACAACGCCTCTTGGGACTGGGGACAGATTCCATGGAACAGTCCTGAAAGCACCTTGCGTAATACTGTCTACCATGCACCTTTCAAAGCTCAGCACTCCACTTCCTACTATTTCCCAAATCATAGGTTTAAAGTATTACTTAGTATCAAACAAGATAGAAAAGCATTTGCAAAAAAACTTGGAACGTGCAGCATAATGAATAAAAATCCACGTAGAGTCACTCTTTGCCAACGGGGAATACACTTTTCTCCGCTAAGCTGCCCGTGTCCTCAAGTCCTGAACTCTGCGTCACTCTGGGTATTCAGTCGCTGGCAACTAGTAAGTTGCTACTTTGGATTGACTGAAAGGAACAAGGTAAGTGTTGCCTTCTGAACATTTTAAAAACGTTTATTTTTAAAATATATAAATATATATGTACATATATTTGGCAAGTTTACTGCTCATATTAAGACTGCAACAATTTTGCTCATGCTTTTCAGGTCTTACGTTGTGGTTTTTCCCCTACGTAACGGACACTCCTTTTTAAAACAGAATGTCTTCCTTTCCAGAAACCTGAGGCTATAAATCCCTAACCATGAGACTTTAAAATTCCAAAATATTTCTATGCTGCAGATCAAGAAATAGTTACATAACTGTATTATGTGAGAGTAGATTCCTGCCTTGTTTTTAATAAATTTGGAGATAACAAAATTTGGCATAATAAATATTAGGTATACAAACATTAAGTGTGTTAGTGAACACACTTAATATCTTTGTTTTGCTATTCTGACTCTGCAGTTGAAATGACCGACTTCTCTCCATACATTTTTTTTTAAACAACTGGAGCAACAAATTAATATAAGCTTCAGTTTTTCAAAACAAGCTCTCCAGCCATATAAAATTTTAAAACTCCTTATTTAACACAAACATCTAAAGTAGCAGTCTCCTGCTTAAAGAAAGCCAACGTCTGTAAGTTGGAAAAATTTAATATCATTTTCAGGTCACCATTAAATCCAGTTACTATACTGAAGCAGGGCGTGAACAAATAGTGTTATATTATTAAATACTTATCTTCTCACCTATATCTGCCCTCCCCCAATGTTGTGCAGACCAGCTCCCTCTTTTGATCAAAAGAAACCAAGAGTGCTATTTCTAGTTTTAATTGCATTTTAAAAAAAACAAAACATAACAGCATTATTCAGTGCACGAATATCTGAAGATCCTTCCTTGTGCAAGTACATTTTCGTGAGAGAGGAAAAAAAGAGAGGAGAAAAAAAAAAAAAAAAAGCAACAAGAACCCCGCCCTCACCCTTCCCGACTATTTCTTCTGGTGGATAGAAATCAAATTCACTTTTACAAGTTCATCATGGGCTCTTCATGAATGCAAGTTTCTCCACAAAACAGCATGCTGTTACAGAGTGTGCAACATGAAGGGAATGCCGTCATGCTAACTAATGTGATTGGCAAGATAGAGTTGTTTTGTCAGGTAAGGCAGAGATTTTAATATTTATGTAATCAAAGTCCAAATAGACCTTCCTCCAGCACAAACTGTTACAACTTTCTGCCCACGCACTCTGAAATTTGGGTTCTTAATGTTGTCCATGATGTTCAAGATTATGCCATGTATATGAAAGTGTTGATGTCAGACTCGTCTCTTCGGATGTATTTGTGCTCTATTAGCCACTCTATTTGCTCTTTTATCATTTTCTTTTGTGGCAAAAACATGTTTTTCAAAATTTCTACTAATTCAGTCTGCAGCTGAGCATTACTAATTTTCTTTCTCATCTTCATTATTTGTATGATAGCTTCCTAAAAGAAAAACAAAAATGAAAGATCATTAATAGATTAAATTTTAAGTAAAACAACAAAACATGACGTTTTATGTATTTCATTCTCTTTCCAACATCCATCCAAAAGACTAATCACTAGATTAATCTTGAGACCAGCAGCTTTTACTTAATATACTTTTTTTCCACTCACTGTAAAAGAAAATCTGATTATAAAGATTTTGAAAAACAAGGAAAAACAAAATTACCCATAACCTCTCTGCAGAAAACCACACCTAATGTTTTGGGATACTTCCTTCCATTACTTTTTTCCACATTATGCACGTTTCAAAAATTTCTCTTAACTGTGAACACAGTATGTATATAAACTGGTATTAAGTATCAATTAAGATACAACAAACCCCTTACACACCCTTTTCCATCACAGGCAAAGTTACTTCTTTGTGTAGAAGCACATGCCAGCTGGTGTCTAGTTTTAAAAATCAGTAATTACTACTCTTTATGTATTTATCAAAATAATAAATTATATCTGCTATAAATATTACCTTCAGTTTATTGATCTAATGAAATATTCTGACTTCTTACAGGAGTAAGCACTGTTCACCTATGTCAATTTTATAAATATTTCCTTGATGATTTAATTACTTTTTTTTTTTAAAGATTTTATTTATTTATTTGAGAGAGAGAGAATGAGAGACAGAGAGCACGAGAGGGAAGAGGGTCAGAGGGAGAAGCAGACTCCCCGCCGAGCAGGGAGCCCGATGCAGGACTCGATCCAGGGACTCCAGGATCATGACCTGAGCCGAAGGCAGTCGCTTAACCAACTGAGCCACCCAGGCGCCCCTTAATTACTATTAAGTTTGTAATAGGGATAATTCAAAAATTATTAAATATTCTTTTCTTTTGCTTTTTTTTAAAAGATTTTATTTGAGAGAGAGAGAGAGCAAGAGAGCATGAGTAGGGGGAGGGCCAGAAGGAGAGGGAGAAGCAGGCTTCCTGCTGCAGGGCTGGATGCCAGGACCCTGGGATCATGACCTGAACCGAAGGCAGACGCTTAACGAGTGAGCCACCCAGGCGCCCCACTTTTTTTGCTTTTCCTGTAGGAGCTCTCTCCTTAGCAAACCAAAGCCATCTGTCTGCCTTGGTGGAGATTAGAATTTGTTAAAGAAGAAATGTGAAAAGAGAAAATGAGAGGTAATACTGGCTTTTCACATTCAAAGTGAAGTTTTGCTGCAAAATGGTAACAGACTTGGGAACCAGGCACTGTTCCACGAGAGAAAAGACTCTTCCACATCCCTGGCAGACATGAGGATCCCTCCCCCATCATGAAGAGGACAGTGAAGTCCTCCCATTCTCAGTGTATCGAGATGCCAGGCTCCCGATGCCAGGGGCTTACGTCAAGGGTCCAGACAGAAAGGAAGGGCGAAAGCCTTCAGGCACGTGAAAATCTCAGGAGCCAGGAGGGAGGACCGACTGTACGTGTCTCAAGCTTTGGCCGAGGTGAGGAAAGTGGCTGTGCTCGAGAGGTGATGAGGGGAACCGAGCACGGGGGCGCTGGCCCTGGTCTGCACTTGCCAGCCGGCCATCACTGGAAGACGGGGCATGACAGGATGGGAAGAACACGCACTCCCGACCCTCCTCCAGTCCCCACATGGCATAGGTGGGGTGCAGAGCTAACAAGACCCCCACAGGCCTTCAGTTCCAGGCCAGAGTCATGCTGCAGCAGCAGTGAGAGTGACAGGAGCACCTGCAGGCCAAGAAGCCACACGGGAGATGGGACAGAGGCTCAGAGAGCTGAAGGGCTCCGTAAGCACAGAGGACAGGCGGTCAGAGCAGGGAAGAGCCCATGTGTTCCTTACCAACTGGAAAAATAATGAACCAGAGCTCAGTAGCAGCAGATAGCAACAGAAAGTCAGGCTCCCGCGGCTGACACGGAAAGCACCGCACAAAAAAAGCAAGAACCCAGGCCACTGTCGCAAGGATAGGACAGTCCCTTCACTGTCACTACGAGGTCAAGTGAATTCCTCTTGCCCTCGATCCTTCCAGATGCCATCTGTGAAACAGCACAGAGTGGGGCTGACTGGAGGAATATCGGGAGAAATGAGAAAGGCTGAGCACTACCTGAAGGGACAGCCCGGATTACTGGACTGTACATAATCAGCCATCAGTTTAAGACAAAGCAAAAAACTTCATTTTCTTGCACGTCCTATAGAATGACTATACCTGCTCAACTTAAATCCATCTGGAATTTATCCTGGTGTTGCCAGAAACTGGAACTATACCCTGATTTTCCCCCCAAACGTGAAACTCCCCCAAATCTCTTCCTGAATTCCCTTGTCATGGCTCATGGAAATTATTTCCTTTATTCCAAAGTTCGTTTATAGAGTAGGTTCAATTCTGAGCTATTTTCCTCAACCAATCTGCCTGTTACACTGTTTTATTTTGTAGATATTTTAGTTAAGTGTTCACATTTGGCAAAGGCAAGTTCCACCAACACCTTATTCTTTTTTTTAAGGATCTCAAACACTCTCATTTATTCTTTCTCATAAAACTGAGAATCAAAATGTAAAATTCCCAAAATATTCCCAGTCGAATTTTTACATGGGAAAAATCGACTTCCTAAGTAATTCAGCCTTATCACTGAAGAACATGGTTACTGCATGCTGAGCAAAAGAAGCTAGACAGAACAAGTACGTTCACTGTCTGATTCTATTTCCATGAAGACTCGGAACAGGCAAAACTAGGCAACAGTGAGGGGTAGTCCGGTGGGTCAGAGGGGGCCTGGCTGGACTGACAGAAACCTTCTGTATCTTAACTGAGATGATGCTCACAACATCAAAACTCATGGACAACCTGTGAAATGTGCATTTTACACGTAAATTACACCTCAATAAAAATTTTAGCCAAGAGAAAAAGAGCAAGATCTTTCTATTTATTTAAATCTCCTTTTGACTCTCAGTAAAGGGCCATGAATTCTTTTTAAAGAAGTGCCTATGAATTCTATGGTTTCTTTATTTCTCCTTTACTTTTTTTTTTTAAGATTTTATTTACTTATTTGAGAGAGAGAGCGCACACAAGTGGGGGGAGGGGCAGAGACAGAGAATCTCAAGCAGACTCCCTGCTGAACGAGGAGTCCAGCGTGGGGCTCCATCTCACGACCCAGAAATCATGACCGGAGCTGAAATCAAGAGTTGGATGCTCAACCAACTGAGCTACCCAAGTGCCCCTTTGCTCTTAAGTTTTTCAAATTTATTGCTAACTAGAAAAGCAACTGATTTTTATTCATCTTTTCCCTGCTCCTTTATCACACTATATGATCTAGAAGTTATGAAATATTTTAATCTTTTCTTATTTGTTTCATATTTTCTTGAATTGGCCAGCAGTTTCAAATAGTATTAAATAAAAACAGCAAAAGTGGAATAACTTGGTCTTAATAGTATTTCTTTTAAGATTTTTATTTCTTTGTCAAAAATAGAGAGTGACTGAGCACAAGTGGGGGGGCGGGCCACAGGCAGAGGGAGAAGCAGGCTCCCTGCTGAGTAAGAAGCCCAATGCGGGACTCAATCCCAGGACCCTCGGATCATGACCTGAGCCAAAGGCAGACGCTTAACTGACTGAGCCACCCAGATGCCCCTAATAAGAATATTTCTAAAGTTAAAATGGTCACACATCAGTTTGCAGTAAGTATTCTTTATCATGTTCAGAAGGGACCACAATCCTAGCTTTAAAATGTTTTTGAAAGTAGAGGCGCCTGGCTGGCTCAGTCAGAAGCGCATGAGATTCTTGATCTTGGGGTCGTGAGATCAAGCCTCACATTGGGTGTGGAGACTGCTAAAAATAAATAAATAAAACTTAAGAAAAAAAAGAAAGTTTTTAAAAGTGTTCCCTAATTTCATATTACAATGGAATTATAAGTCTTAAAATTAAGTAAGAGTTTAAGTACTTCAATCCTAGAATTACAACTTATTGTGGACACACATTAAGTCAATTGTGATCAAAGGGAGACATAACTTAAAACCAAGGTTTTGCCCAACCAGCAGAATCTACCAGAGGCCATCAAGACATACAGACATCTCTTTCAGCAACTAAGAGAATGCCAGCAATGCCGTTTTTAAATTCCAGTAAAATGAAAATTAGTTCATTACAGTTTGAATACCTACATGCTTTTAAATTAAAAAAAAAAAATGGGTGCCTGGGTGGCTCAGTTGGTTAAGCGACTGCCTTCAGCTCAGGTCATGATCCTGGAGTCCCTAGATCGAGTCCCACATCGGGCTCCCTGCTCGGCAAGGAGTCTGCTTCGCCCTCTGGCCCTACCCCCTCTCATGTGTTCTCTCTCTCTCATTCTCTCGCTCTCAAATAAGTAAAATCTTTAAAATAAATAAATAAATAAAAATTAAAAAAATAAATTAAAAAAATGGAAATTTAAAAAAATGAAATTTTTTTCAAAGTATAGACATTCTGCCTTATACAAACCTGGGTTCTAAGTATTCTTAGTTGAACTATTCCTTCATTCTCTTCTTCTCTCATCCTTTCTGTAGTGAGCTGCAAGCGTCCAATCAAGTTGATTTTACCCCTTTTCTGAACTTTTGCATTTTTTCTATAAAAAAGTGAATCAAGTATTTTACAGTTGAAGGCCTTTTGACATCACACTATAGCAATAATGTCTGAGAAAAAAGATTTAGAAATATTCTGAAGATTACTCTCCAGAACTGCTTAAAGGAAAAGTAACAAATAATCAACATACAGCTTTATTTAAAATGAATCATATGATTTCCCCCAAACACAACAAAAGCTCAGTTAATAATGTATGGGTGACATCATTCCCTGTAATAACAGAGCTAATATAATTTATACTACCATGAAAGTGCTTAGATCGTCGGAAGATACATGGGCTGCTATTCAGCATTATCATCTAAATGGATCTTAGGGGAAAAATGCTTTGTGTGAATAAAGCTTCTTTAGAGTTCAATGTTTAAAGATGAAAGCAATATAAAGATGTTTAAAGATGAAAAGTACTATAATCACACACCAAAATGTATCCTTGACAAATAAGAAGTAAGCATATCCACTTCATTACTATGTTTAATAAACAACTAAGTGGCGTAACCCTAGAGTGATGTTTTAAATATAACGTAAGGAAAATAATTATTGTGCTAACAATAAATTAACACCAAACTTCCAACAAGGTATTTTTATTTTACATCAACCACCGTCGACCTTACATTAAGCTGAATTCCTGGTTCACTGAGAAGAGAGTGCCTTCTGTAAAGTCTTTGGGTGAGCTGACTTGAGGTTCGTACAGTAAAACCTGCCGCTTGAGCTTTGGGAAAGCTACTAAAGACTACGAAGAATAAAGAGAAAACAATTAACATTGATCAACGGTACAGAATACTAAGATCAATTCTCCAACATGACTAAAAGAGGGGAGAACAAATTATAAGCACAAAATCACGATTCAACTTTTATATGATACCTCGATGACTTTAACAATGTAAATGTAGAAACTGAGAAAAGAACGAGGAGAAAGAGTTGGTTGTGAGGAAGGAAGCAATAAACGATCTCTTTACAGTAAGAGACAAGACCAGAGCAACTGGTCATAGGCAATCACAGCAAAAGCAACCTGCCAGTTACACACCAGCTATTTCCCTCTAGACAATTATTATTCCTGAACTTTCAAGAGGTCTGTGGAGTAGGAGTAAAATGTAGCTATGAGCAGGAGACTAACAAGTACATTTTGCAGGCCCTCAAAAAGACCAAAGTTTTCTAATTCTTACATTTTTGGTCATCATAAAAATCTCTGAACACATTCTCAGTATGAAATCTGTGGCCACACTCCTCACAGATAACGTTTAAACACCAACTCAAACTTTCTCTCATTTTTTTTTCCCCTTTCTTGTCTTTCACCATCTTTGTAACTTGCTTACTTTCAATGTCTTTTTTACCATGAATACCTCATTAGTGCATTAATACCTCATTAGTGTATTTTTTCTTGATTAAAGGTCATTTTCAGAGTGTTATGAATTCATAAATTTATTGTAAGCAAGCCATCAAATATTTCCTGCTTGTGACTGGATACAACTTTAAAAACAAAAAACATAAAACAAACCCATAAAGTCCTTCTAAGCTCAGCATCAGGGAGTTCAGTTGCAAGTTTTAGATTTTCAAAGCTGATTTTCTCTCTGGGTCTTTGGTTCCATGCAAACAACACAGCCAGCTGAAACGTCGTTACCTCCAAATCATATTGACCTACTTCATTCTTAAATGTTATCTATAACAGACAAAATAACATAAAGATGAGACTCTCTTCAGGATGATTACCATCTCTCTCCTATACTCTCTCACATGAGATTAAACATGGAAAAGACTGCCAGCCGTCTTCCAATATCCACTCTTCCTTTTTTACATGGTAATCACAATTTTAGCACAACTTCATGACTGCCCAGAATAAAGGCTCAAATCCCAGCTCTCCCTGGGGCAAAATGTGGTCATGTGACCAGTTCTGCCCAATGGGATGTGAGTGGAAATGATGGGGCAACTTCTAGAAGTTACTCCTGAAGTACCGTGTACTCTCATCTTTCCCTTCCTGTTGGGCTGGAAGACAGGCACATTGGGGATCATATTGCATTTGCAGACAAGAGCGATATTTTAAGTGTGCTGATACAAGCAGAAGCCCATGTCCCTACAACTCCATGGACTAGATCCACTAGACCTGCTCAAACTTGCACATGTGAGACAAACAAAGATCTCTCGAGTGCCGGTACTTTCAGTCAAACCAATATCGGAACTAATACACCATCTACTTACAATTCCATTTGACATGAGATGATGCCAATGTAATTTTCTACCACTATGATTTTTTTTGTAGAATTCTTCTACTTCAGGTATCAAATCCTCCAGTTCGGTAGGAAGTGAGACAAAGACTTTCTCAGAGCTCCTTGACCAGGCACCAGCATTTAGAATTTTTATATTAACTGAATCAGCTATAGGCAAGAATATCAGAAAATATGAAATAAATAATCTTGAAAATGTGTAAAATTAAAAAGAAATATATATGTATACTGGGTGAACATTGGTGAAAAATAAACGAAACCCTAAAGATTTTGTTAAAAGTATCCTTTTAAAAAAAAGGAAAGGATTAGAGGGACACCTGGCTGGCTCAGTGGGGGTGGGGGGAGGGCATGCGACTCTCGATCTCAGGGTCATGAGTTCAAAGCCCACATTGGCTGTAGAGATTATACTTAAAAATAAAACTTATAAAGAAAAAAAGGGGGTGTGTGTGTGCCAGGGTGGCTCAGTTGGTGAAGCGTCTTGCCTTCTGCTCAGGCTCCCTGCTCAGCGGGGAGTCTGTTTCTCCCTCTCCCTCTGCCCCCCGCCCCCACTCATGCTCTTTCTCTTTCTCTCTCTCAAATAAATATTTTTTTTTTATTTTTTTTTTTTAAAGATTTTATTTATTTATTTGACAGAGAGAGAGACAGCGAGAGAGGGAACACAAGCAGGGGGAGTGGGAGAGGGAGAAGCAGGCTTCCCGCTGAGCAGGGAGCCCGATGCGGGACTCGATCCCAGGACCCTGGGATCATGACCTGAGCCGAAGGCAGTCGCTCAACCAGCTGAGCCACCCAGGCGCCCTAAATAAAATCTTTAAAAAAGGGGGGGGGGATGCCTGGGTGGCTCAGTCGGTTAAGCATCCGACTCTCAGCTCAGGTCTTGATCTCAGGGTTGTGGGTTCAAGCCCCCTGTTGGGCTCCATGCTGGGTGTGGAGCCTACTTATAAATCAATCAATCAATCAATCAATCAACAAATAAATAAATAAAATCAATCTTAAAATAAAAAAGAAATAAGTCTCTTCATGTGACTGGATCTGAAACATGTAAAGCTCAGGCAGTGAACTGTGGCTATTTTGAAAAAATAAAAAATAGGGGTGCCTAAGTGGTGGAGCCAGTGGAGCATCCAACTCTTGGTTTCAGCTCAGGTCATGATCTCCAGGTCATAAAATTGAGTCCTGTGTTGGGCTCTGCACTCAGCACAGAGTCGGCCTGAGATTCTCTCTCCCTTCCCTCTGCCCTTCTTGCTCACATTCTCTCTCTTTCTCAAATAAATAATCTTTAAAAATAAATAAAAAATAATTTTAAAAATACATACATACATAAAAATAAGGACTATCAAATCTAAATTCTGTTAAATTCTGTTTTGCTGGATGTCTTCAAGGAATGTGGACTTTGTAACATCTTTGTATCTGTTACTGTTAGGGTTCATTTTTAATATACTGGAAAACAAAAATAATCTCTTTAAAAAGGTGTGTATATATATACATATAAATGTGTGTACACACACACACACACACGTAATTATAAAATAATACCTGGTAAAGCCAATTTATTATTTTTGTGCATTTCCTTAAAAGCTTGGTTCAAATCTTCAGATACTTTTATGTCCTGAAACATTCTAGCAAGCTTGTTTACATAATCTGCTGGCATACCAACTTCCTATGAAAGGCAAAGACAAAAGAGGTAATGAGCAATAATATATAATCTGATATACTATTAGGAAAAACTTTCAATGGAAAACTAAGTCTTAGATGCTTTAATATAAAATCATTCCCCTCTTATTTATTAGAATACTTACATTGTAATACCTATTAAATTTGATTCTTAAAAACTAAATGAGACAGTCCAGGTCACCCAGGCTTTCTCTGCATGATTCCAATATACATGAATCAGTCGCCACAGTATATAGTTCAATAACACCAGTCCCTCAACAACCCAAGTCAACTCTCAGTTATCACCATGTATTAAATGTGAGGAATGCATAAAGTACAAAATTTACTTCTCATCATGACCAATCACAACACTTGTTTTCAAAATCTGTTAGTCATCTGTTAATCCAGTTCACCCACAGAAAGCAAAGCATACAGTTTTGTTGCATCCTTGCCTTCCAGGGATAAATCCACTTGACATTTTACAAAAATGGATAATCAAGAGAGCTAAATGGCCAATGACAATGATAAAAGCATACCACAGAAAAAAAAATAAAGCTGGAAATGAAAATAATCTAATAGAACATAAACAGCATTCTAGAAGAGCTGACTGAAGTCAACTTGCCAACGCTGAAGACTCTAAATATACAGGCATAGGAATGTAAGGTAAACTATCTTAAGGTAAATTTACTGAAGGTAAATTATCAACTTAAGTGAGAAAGGAGTAGTAACAAACAACAACAACAACAAAAAACAAGACGCCCCAGGAGAAGTGACACCAGCAAAAACTTTCACAACACTGAGAGCCCGAAAAACCACAGGCTGGAAGCTGACCCAAACTTACAGGGAGTCTGACAACTCTTCAAGGCACACAGAAGATGCTCATGCCCTATTCTAAGTCACATGACAAGAAGGCCCCGGCTGGTCAAACTACTCTTCATTTACAGGACAGCTTTCCTGAGATACAACTCATCTACCAGAACACTCACTCTTTCAGAATGTACAATTAAGTGGGTTTTAGTGTATTTACAGGGTCTCTGCGGATTTGGCCACTGTGGACATTTTGTTTTAGTGGAGTCTCATACTACGTGGTCTTTTGTAACTGAATTCTTTCACTTAGCAGTGTTTTCCAAGTTCACTCATGTTGCAGTGTGTGTCAGTCCTGTTTTTCTTGTGACTACTAAGTATCCTCCCGTTGTATGATTAAACCACATTTGGTTTATCCCTTATCAGCTGATGGACATTTTGGGTTGTTTCCACCTTGTGGCTCTTATTAATAATGCTGTTTTGAACATCCACAAACAAGGTTCTTGTGTGGTCACGTGCTTCCGTACCTCTCGAGCAGAATGACTCAGGAGGAGAACTGCTGGGCTGACTCTATGTCTAACTTCTAAGAACGGCCCAACAGTTTTCCCCGGGGGCTGCACTGATTTATAGTCTCATCAGCTGCACACGAGGTTCCAATTTCTCCTCTTCCTTGCCCACACTTGTTGCTTTCTTTTTTAATTTTAGCTACCATAGTGGGAATAAAGGAGAGTGGGAGGAAAGCAGAAGTAATGACTAATGATGTCCAACATCTTTGAAACATGCATTAGCCATGTGAATATCTTCTGGGAAGAAATGTCTATTTTAATCCTTTGCCCATTTGTAACTTAGCTGTCTTTTTGCTGTGGAGTTGTAAGAGTTCTTTATGTATTCTAAATACAATATTGGACATATGAATTGCAAATATTTTCCTAACTAATCTTAGGTTTTTACAGAAAAATAGTACTTTAGTTCTAAAAGTTTCTTATGTTTTATAGTGTACTAATAAATACATACTCATTTTACAAATTTTTTTCCTATGTAAGATAGAGTTTTTAATGTTTTAACAGAAATTTCTCAGAGTTACAAAACAATAATTTTTCCCACTGATTGTTAACATTAAGATCATTTTGCATACGGTCAGTTTGCAGAGTAATTTTACTATCGTATAGTATCATGCAAAGCAGGACAATCGATAAATGTGTATTGTGAAATGTATATATAAATGAAGGAGATATATATAAAATACATAACCATATATAATATAAAAAATTACATAACATAATCATATTATGTACCTTAACACCATACATATACATAAAAGACATTCATTTTAATATAACTCAAATTCCATTTAAGTGAACTGACAGGAACGGACTTAAAATACTTTGATATGAGAATTTAATCATAATTGAATTAGCACTGATTACCCTAAGTAAGCCATCATCTTTTACGTATTAGTTCTTTTAGCTATATAAAAGTCTTTATTTACAGACATCCCTACAGTTAAGCATTTAGTACTGAAAACACCTTAAAAATGCAATGATTTGTCCCACAGCCCATTTAATAAGGTCAATTCAAATGAAAGTGGAAATACAAAAGTGCAAAACATCAGAAGCAAACCAAGAGCAAAAGTGTCTCACTAAAGTCTTTATTAAGAAAATATACTTTATTAGATATCACTTTATTTTGTATCACTGATGCCAATGCTCTTATAAAACGTCCCCTGCTTCTTTGACACTAACATCACCAAAATGTATTACTTAAGCACACGTAAGAACCATGGGTTATATTAAAAAAAAACAAATACTAAAAAATGTACTTACTCTTAGCCACTCTACCATATTCTCTTCAATTTCACTATCAGCAGAGATGTCCAAAATAAGACGTCGTGTCAAATGAGCTTTGTGGTATCTCATAAAAACGTCTTTATTTTGTACGTATTTAAGTACCAACAGCTGTACAGAAAACAAAGTTACTTTCAATCCATGTCTATTCTTAGCCAGCTCTCTCACGGAGACCTTTCCATACCCCAATGTCAAAATCCAGAAATTTACATATGCATATATAGATAGAAGCCTACTGAATCACCCATCTCTGAAAAATGACCAGTCCCAATACCCTACTTTACTACTTTAAAAGCTAGCAAATTTGAGACTGTAATCAAATAACCTTTTAGTTCCTATAAACATCAATTTTTCAGATTTAATAAATAATGTAATAAAACTTTAGATGAAAATTAAGGGTTTCTCCCCAAATTTCTCTATAGCCTTTTTACTTTGATCTGACACTAATCTTCTCTCTAAATCTTTTTGTCTATATTTTCTATCTTTACTTCTATTTTTTTTTCTTCTTTGTATTCCTGGGCTTATAGCAAATTACACTAACAGCCAGGAGACAAAAATGAAAGCAACTAACTCTTACCTACACTCACTCATTTCTCGTTACCTATTTTGAGCTCTCACAAAAAAGAAAGAAGTGACAAACTCCCAGTCTCTCTACTGTCATTCCAAACACCATCAGCTCCATTTCCCTCTTCTTTGTCCTTTAATAGGAGCTAGCATTGATTTCCTTTAAAACAATCAGGAAGGGGAAGAATTAAATACTATTTCCCTTTTCTAGAAGCTACAGAATAAAAATTCCCAGGAAGACAAATAACTGCCCTACAGAGATCTTATACTGTAAAATTTCACAACATTAGCTGCTATCACACAAAGTCTTATAAGCACAACACAAATTCAAACTAAGGTAATTAAAATTTTTGAAATTAAAAAAATATATACCACTTCTTTAAGCTTTGCTTCAATCTCTTCAGAGGTTAGTTTTTTGCTTAACGGTGTTTTTCTTAGCAACATGTCACAGTAATTGGCAAGCAGCTCAGGGCATTTTGATTCAGGCTGAGTTTTTAATCCCACCCTAAAAAACAAATTAAAAGCAGTTGATAAAAAGTGAATGATATCTGCAAATATTTTAAAGCCAATTTTTCACAAATTTCTTAAGTCGTATAAACCCAGTGATCAGGGCTGAGACTAGGATGAGCAAGACAACAAGGGTGCATAATTTAAGGAGGCACTTACTCTTAAGTTCCCAAAGGTGCACCTGCAGGATGCTGAGAGGAGACCTACATATATTTTGTACCCTGGGTGCTGCCCTGCCCTGACTCTAGTGGTGGCCTTGTCAATGATCTTTAAAAATTTTTATTTAGGTACTAACTTGCTAAATACTTCTAAAAAACTTGTGTAAATCCTTGCATATTTTGTAAGTTAACATTTAGAACTTTTTGTTATTAATATGTCTGGAAAAACTGTTCTTTGGAATGTGTCCAACGTAACCTAAACTCCACAGTTATGTGATACCTACCATCATCCTTTTTAGAAAACTAAACAAACTTTTCTTTTAAAGATTTTATTTATTTGACAGAGAGAGCACAAGCAGGGGGAGCAGCAGGCAGAGGGAGAGGGGAAGCAGGCTTCTCGCTGGGCAAGGAGCCCAATGTGGGACGCAATCCCAGGACCCCGAGATCATGACCTGAGCCGAAGACAGATGCTCAACCGACTGAGCCACCCAGGCGCCCCTAAACAAACTTTTCTGAAACAATGAAGAACTTGCATCTCTATTTTACTTTGCTAACAAAATTTAAAAATCAATGTATTATATTTTTATGCTTGAAAGCCTTGCATTTATTCTTTATCTGGCTTCTCTAAATTATAATTGTAAGTAAAATTCAACATTTTAAAATTTGTGTATATAAAATTCAAGTGTTATTTTCCCAGAATTGAGTTATTCAAATTAAGTACACAACTTATCAAAACAAAATAATTGGGACACCTGGGTGGCTTAGTTGGTTAAGCGTCTGCCTTCGGCTCAGGTCATGATCCCAGGGTCCTGGGATCGAGTCCTGCATCGGGCTCCTTGCTCAGCAGGGAGCCTGCTTCTCCCTCTGCTTGTGCTCGCTCTCTCTCTCTCTGACAAATGAATAAATAAAAAATCTTTAAAAAACAAAACCAAAAACCAAAATAATTATGTTGTATCTGTGTATATAAAACATACATAATATCTTAATGAGGTAGATGAAACTTTTTTCCCTCCTACTTAACGAATCCAGAAATTACAATCAATTTTATTTCTACTTTTTATTTTTATAACTGTATGTCTGTCCTGAAAAATCTTATTCACATAAGTAGATGGGACTGGAAGAAGTTTTTCTGATGTTATGCCACTCGTTGAGAACCTCCTGAGTTATTTGCTTAAAAAATACATACAGATCTAACAAAAAAGGTTATTTTTAGTAATGCATCAAATTAGCCATCAGGGCGCCTGGGTGGCTCAGTCGTTAGGCGTCTGCCTTCGGCTCAGGTCATGATCCCAGAGTCCTGGGATCGAGTCCCACATCGGGCTCCCTGCTCTGCAGGAAGCCTGCTTCTCCCTCTCCCACTCCCCCTGCTTGTGTTCCTGCTCTATCTCTCTCTCTGTCAAATAAATAAAACTTAAAAATCTTAAAAAAAAAAAATTAACCATCAATTGTCTGTAAAGCCAAGAACTGGAAACCACATGACTTGCAAAAGGATCTGACACCTAGTTATCAGAAATTCATTTTCCGTACATCAATCCCAGTGTTTCAAAATACTCCTTTCTTATGCAACGTGGAGGCTTTTTCTGTCTCAAGGCAACACACCGCAGTAAGAACGGAGAGAGAGGCACACCTTTCTCTGGAAAGCAGGGAAGATTAACTGTGGGAAGTGGAAAGGGCAAATTGTAAGATACTTCCAGCAGAGGGCTCCAGCGTAGAGGAGAGCAGATGTGGAAGGAGAGGATCAAGAGCTGATTTCCAGCGTCCACTGGCTGACTCCAGGAAGGTTTTTCTGCAACTAGAAGACCACTAACTTACTTCCCCAGAATCCCTCTATTTCTTCCCATCTATTCACACTCACAATGCGTGGCTCCTGCAGGAACCACTGCCCTCACTGCAGTGGTCTACCCGTCTCCCTTCCTCCAATGTGCCTGCTGGGAAGACAGGGGTCAGCTTTTCAGTGTCGCTCCTGTGAAGGCTGAGTATCATTTCCCCTCGGGGGGCTGTTTCAGAGCTTGTTTGTTTGTTTTCAGTTTTTAGCTGTTTCACTGTGACATACTCAGGAATGGTTTAATCTGCATTTACCCTGCTTGGGATTCAAAGAGATGCCTGAATCTAAGAGTTGGCATCTTGTATCCATTTTGGAAATTTCTGGTCAATAGCTCTTCAAATATTGCTTATGTCCCCCTTTTCTGTTCTCTATAATTCCAATTACATATTGCTATAGATATTTTACCTTTCCTCAGGTAACAATTTCCACCTATTTGTCCATTAATATGAATTATTTATTACTTCTTATTTAAGCTTATTATTACTAAGATATAATTCACATACCATGCAGTTCATCCATTTAAAGTACACAATTCAGTGTTTTTTAAGTATATCTACAAACTTGTGCAACCATCAGCATAATGTAATTTTTTAAAAAATTTTTAAAGTTTTTTTTTTTTTTAAGATTTTATTTATTTGTCAGAAAGAGAGAGTGAGTGCGCTTGCACAAGCAGGGGGAGAGGCAGCGGGAGAGCAGACTCCCCATCGAGCAGGGAGTCAACGCGGGGCTCAATCCCAGGACCCTAGGATCATGACCGGAGCCAAAGGCAGACGCTTAACCGACTGAGCCACCCAGGCGCCCAGAATAATGAAATTTTAAAACATTTTCATTAACCCCAGAAGAAACCCCATACACATTAGCAGTCACTCTCCAGCTATCTCTCCCTCCCAGCCCCTGGCTACAAGTCATCTACCTTCTGTCTTTATGGATTTCCTTATTCTGAACATCTCAATAAAAGGAACCATACAATATGTGGTCTTTTTTGACTGACTTCTTTTACTTAGCATAGTGTTCTTAAGATTCATCCTCATAACATGGGGTGCCTGGGTGGCTCAGTTGGTTAAGCGTCTGCCTTCGGCTCAGGTCATGATCCCAGGTCCTGGGATCGAGCCCCGCATTGGGCTCCCTGCTCAGCGGGAAGCCTGCTTCTCCCTCTGCCTGCCACTTCCCCTGCTTGTGTTCCCTCTTTTGCTGTCTCTCTCTCTGTCAAATAAATAAATAAAATCTTAAAAAAAAAAAAAGATTTATCCTCATCATAACATATACTGGTAGTTCATTTCTTTAAAAAAAGATTTACCTCTTTATTGTGGTAAAAAGATTTACCATTTTAAGTTTACAATTTAGGGGCATCAAGTACATTCACAATGGTCTGCAAATATGACCACTATCTGGGCAGAACTTTTTCACTGTCCTAAACAGAAACCCTACACCCATTAAACAATAACTTCCTACTCTCACCACCCCCCGTCCCTGTTAATGTCTATTTTTTTTTTCAATGAATTTGCCTATCCTAGAAACCTCATATAAGGGAATGATAGAAAATGTGTCCTTTTGTGTGTAGCTGATTTCACTTAGCATATTCTTAGGGTTTCATTCATGTTGTAGCATGTATCAGAATTTCATTCCATTTTATGGCTGGATAATATTGCATTGCACAGATATACCACATTTTGCTTATCCATTCATCAGACAATGGGCATTTGGGCTGTTTCCTTTTGGGAAAGGCTATTAAAAATAAAGCTGCTACAAACATTCATGTACAAATTTTTGAGATGGTGTATGTTTTTTTTCTCTTGGGTATATACTCAGTGGTGGAACTGCTGGGTTACATGGTTAATTCTATATTTAACTTCTTGAGGAGCTATCAAACTACTTCCAAAGTAGCTGCATATATGAACCATATATGAACCAACACTTGTTACTGTCTTCAATTTTAGCCATTCTAGTGGGTGTGAGTGGCATATCACTGTGGTTAAGCTATTGATCTTAATTATTTTAAAGTCCTTATCTGCCAACTCCAATATTGGGATCATCTGAGAGTCTGTTTCTAAAATGATTTTTCTCTTAATTGATCGTAAGTATCTCTACCTTCACAAGCCTGGTAATGTCATACTGACCACGGGGCACTACATATAAAAGCATCAGAGGCACCAGATGATGTCATCTTCCATTAAGATGGAAGTGGGTTCCCGCTCTATTGTGCTGTGGAGAAGGCCAATCACTTTAATCCAATCAGGGGCTGGGTTGAAGTTTTGTTAAAAAACAGTCTACGTCTGGTACAGTCAGCCATTTTTCACAGAGCCCTAATTTCTTTCAGTAGACAATAATATTTAGTGGGCTAGATCTAGTGCTAGTTGTGTTCAGTGCTTTTGGGGTGTCACTGCTGCCAGGCCCTCTCAGTGGACAAACTTAGAGATGCACATACTCATTTACAACTACAGTGTCTGGCCTTGTTTCTTGTGGATGTATTTCTCATCCTAATGAGGCTCTAATGTAAGTCTGACAACTTAGAATGAACAAGGTCCTTGAAAAACACACCTGACCACAACTAAAACTAGGTTAACTAAGTAATCTAAAGAGGCTGAACTTGGGATCAACATCTGCGCAGAAAGAAAACCCCTGGCCCAGATGGTTTTACTTATGAATTCTACCAAACATGTAAGGAAGAAGTAATACCAATTACACTAATTCTTTTAGAACATACAAAAGGAGGAAGTAACTCACAATCCTTACAAAGCCAGCATAATCCTCATACCAGAAAAAGACAAAGACATGACAAAAATGAAAATTATACAGGGCACAAAGACCAGAAAAGAAAGAGGTAAAATCCTTCGTGAATATAGATTAAAAAAAAAAAAAAAAATCCAACCAACATTATTAGCAAACTGAATGCAGGCCTATATAAAAAGAATAATACACATCATAACCAAGTAGAGTTTATCCTAGGAATTCAACCTTGGTTAAATGTTTTTTAAAAAACCAATGTATTTACCACATCAGAAGGATACGGAAGAAAAACCTTATGATAATTTCAACTCAGAAAAAGCATTTAATAAAAGTCAACACCCATTCATTATCAAAACTTTTAACAAGCTAGAATAAAAAGCAATCTAATTAAGGGCATATATGAAAAACCCTCAGCTAACTTTGTACTTGGTGATAAAATATTAAAGATTCCCCCTCAAGTTTGACAAAAAGGACAGGGATGCCCACTTTAACAACTTCTATTCAACAATGTACTTATGATCCTAACCAGTGTAGCAAGGCAAGAAAATAAGTTGTATAAAGATCAGAAAGAAGTAAAACTGTCTGTATTCACAGATTACATGATTATTTACATAGAAAACTCTTAAGAAATCTACAAAACAACTACTAGAACTAATACCTTTGACAAGGTAACAGGATATAAAATCAGTATACAAAAATCAACTGTATTTCTATATACTAACAAAATACTAGAACATCAAAAGCGTTCATGGAAAAATAGAACAAAAAAAATTTTTTTTTAAAGATTTTATTTATTTATTTGAGAGAGAGAATGAGATAGAGAGAACATGAGAGGGGGAGGGTCAGAGGGAGAAGCAGACTCCCCGCTGAGCAGGGAGCCCGATGCGGGACTCGATCCCAGGACTCCAGGATCATGACCTGAGCCGAAGGCAGTCGCTTAACCGACTGAGCCACCCAGGCGCCCAAAAATAGAACAAAATTAAACTACTCAACTGACTACAGAATACTACTACTCAACTTAGTACAGAACTGTATTAATTAGGACTATGTAGTAATGACCTAAGGATACCCAAATAAATCAATGGAATAAAACAGAGAGCCCAGAAATACACACATATTTTTAAGTCACTTGATTTTTTTACAAAAGGCACCAAAGCAATGCAGTGGGGATGGTAAGTATTTCCAACAAAGGGTGATGAAACCACTTGCTATCCATATGGAAAAGGAAAAAAAATCATTAAATTTAACTCCCTACTTACACTATAATCATTAATTTAAGATGGCTCTTAGAACTAAATGTGAAAGCTAAAATTATAAAGCTTACAGAAGAAACAAAAAAGATTATCTTTGTGTCATAGGGGTAGAAATAGACAAAGGTTTTCTAGACAAAACATAAAAAAGCAAAAACCATAAAAGAAAAGCATGTATCTCCCAAAGAGTCTATATACAGAATATCTAAGAACTTTTATAGGTCCCTAATAAAAAGGAATAATGCAGTGGGAAAAAAAAAGACAGGCAAAAAAATGGAATACTTTATAAAGCAAAGTATAAGAAGGCCAAATAGTATAAGAAAAAGGGCTCAACAGCCATAGTCATGAGTGAAATGGAATTACAAACACAACGAGATAATCACTACACACATCTAGAATGACTGAAATTAAACTGACAACACTAAACGTTGTTAAAAATGAGGATCAACTGGTACTCCCTTGCTTTACTGGTGGGAGGGTAATGCAGTACAAACACTTGGGAAAACAAACCACTGTGCTTTGCAAAAACGTGGATGAATCTCAAAAACACTGTGCTGCACTGAAAGAAAGTTTACACACAAAAGTATATATCGTATGATTCCATTTATATAAAGTCCTAGATCAGGCAAAAGTCATCTATGTTGAAACAATCACAACAATGGCTGCCTCGGGAAGGAGGCAGGGGTAGGGCTGACGGAATGGGCACGAGGTAATTCTCAAGGATGATGAACACACGGTACATCCTAACAGGGGTGTAGGCCCATGTATCAAATCTCACAAAATTGTACACTTAGGATGGATGCTTATGTCAGCATGTAAATTTTATCTGAGAATATAAACCAACACCAAAGTCAATTAATGCCTGCATGCTGAAGTGTTCAGGGAGTAAAAGTTACTGGTGCCTGAAACAACTTTTTTAAGATTTTATTTATTTATTTATTTGAGCAAGAGAGAGTGAGCCCGCAAGTGTGTACACAAAGGGGGGAGGGGCAGAGGGAGCAGCGGACTCCTCACTGAGCAAGGAGCCTACTGTGGGACTCCATCCCAAGACCCTGGGATCATGACCTGAGCTGAAGGCAGACGCTTAACAGACAGCCACCCAGGGGTTCCCTGAAACTTCTTTTGAAATCCATTTAAAAAGCTGACTGATGGATGTACAGAGAGATACATATTTGATAAAGCAACATAGCGACAAAAATTTGAAAATTTTCATTAAAAAATGCTGGGAGCAGGGGTAAATGAGGAAGACCTTTCTGTATCCATATGAAGAGATTTTGAAGACACAGTGTTTACATATTTCATACATTTCACAATGTATAAAGAAAACAAGACAAATGCCTCTTAAACTATGTAAGTTACTATAACACCGTATGACCCAGGTATCTTCCACTGTAATATCACTCAACTTATACAGCTCAAAAAAGACAAAATGAAAATGATTAAAAAATTCTAAACAATTACTTTTCATTCTTAAGAAAGCTATTTTTCACGTATTTTAGCATTATATATAAATTTTGTTTAAAATAGCAATTCTAGGTGCTCAGTTAGGCAGCCAACTTTTGGTTTCAGCTCAGGGCTCTGGGACTGAGCCCCACCACCAGTTCTGCACTCAGCAGGGAGTTGGCTTGGGATACTCTCGCTCTCCCTCTGCCCTTCCCCACTCCATGTGCTCTGTAAAATAAATGATAAATAAATAGCAATTCTTGGGGCATCTGGGTGGCTTAGTCAGTTGAGTGTGTCTGACTCTTGATTTCAGCTCAGGTTATGATCTCAGGGTCCTGGCCTCCAGCCCCACGTTGGGGCTCCCTGTTCAGCAGGGAGTCTGCTTGGGAGTCTCTCTCCCTCCCCCTCTGCCCCTGCCCCCCTCAAGCGCGTGCACAGGCACACATGCACTCTTTCTCAAGTAAATAAATCTTAAAAAAAATATATCAATTTCTAAAAAAAGATTTTATTTATTTGTCAGAGAGAGCAAGCACAAGCAGGGGAGCAGCAGACAGAGGGAGAAGCAGGCTCCTCGCTGAGCAAGGAGTCCGATGCGGGACTCGATCCCAAGACCCTGGGATCATGACCTGAGTCGAAGGCAGAGCTTAACCAACAGAGCTGCCCAGGTGCCCCTAAAATAGCAATTCTTAGCTAGAAATTATATCAGAACATTTTTCCAATTAACCTTTACTGCTTCGTACTACTCTAAAGGTACTATAACTAGCTCAGGTTTATCAATTTTTAAATTTATTATTTATCCATTTTAATTCATTAAATTTTGATTTTTTAAATGGCAATATACTTATATTAAAATTGACTTCCCTCTTTTATTATGGTGAACTGAGTTATATTCTATGCTTTTATATTAAAGTAACTTTAGTGACTAATAAGGAGGAAAAACAATCACGTAGAGATTCTAAAAGATTAAGAACATTTTTCTACTTAAAAAAATAAGATCAACATTTTTTGGTCACCAAAGGAGATAATATGAAATTAAAATTCGAGACAGTTTTTAATATTCAAAGGCAGCAAAAATCGTAAAAGTAAAAAAAAAAAAAAAAAAAACCCAGCAACAACAAAAATCAAACCTAACAGATTTAGGAAGATAGGGCACAATGCACACCCAATAACATATAATACGTTATACGTCAAAAAAGTTAAGAATTTTAAACATGATTTTTAAAAACTTACCCTTTTTGCTTCAAAGGTAATTCAAGTTTAAATATGGTAGCATCATTAACAACTGCTTTATATGCCTGCAAAGAATTTACAATGAAATGAACATTATTTTTAATATTTAAAATACAGTTTGGTATTTTAAAGGTGTCTGCGGCCTGACAGAAATTTCAAGTCCTGACTTCAGCATGCTCCCTCCCACGTCAGGACCATCATTATTCTCAAGCAGGGTCTCAGCGCTGCCTGACAACCATACCATTCTCTCTGTGCACGCACTGTCCCAGAACACACTTCACACATCGTCTTCCCCTTCAGCCTCCCACATTTCCTCCCCCAGGGAGACGTGCAGCTGAGGATGTGGCTCCATTTTGCTAATAAAACCAAAGTGAACAGAATTCCTCCGAATTCTCTTATGTCATCTTTCCCTGTCCACTGTTCCTAGGCACACAAACATCGTTATTTAAATCTTAACATTCTCTCTTGCCTTTGCTCACCTCCAGCTCCTGCGTCATTTATCTCCCTAAGCTAAACTTCCTGGACGAATTACCTAACGCATGGTCTCCATTTTCTACCGCCACTCCTATTGGAAAAACCCTCCACAACCAGGCTTTTGTATCACTGCTCAACCTAATCGTTCTTGCCAAAGTCACTCACAACCTCCATGCAGAAGACAATGCTTAATTCCCACCTCACCAGACACATCAGCAGCATTTTATTTAATTTTTTATTTTTACTTATTTGAGAGAGAGAAAGAAATAACGAGAGAGAGAGAGAGCACAAGCAAGGAGAGAGAGAAGCAGACTCCCCACTGAGCAGGGAGCCCAACGCAGGGCTCAATCCCAGGACCCCAGGATCATGACCTGAGCTGAAGGCAGATGCTTAACCTAAGGCTGAGCCACCCAGGTGCCCCATCAGCAGCATTTTAAACCAGCACATCATGCCCTCCTCCTGAAAGTGCTTTTTCTATGGGTTGTCTACAAAACTGCACTCTCCTGGTCATTCCGCTCACTCTGCTCTCTCCTCATGAAAGCCAGTTCTTCATCTTTCTCATAACGAAACTGACGGTGCCCAGGCCAGTCCTTGGATCACCTCTCTTTCCCATCCTCACTCATTACACTGGTGATCATGGCCAGTGTCAGCACTTTAAATGCCATCCATATGCTAAAGCTCCCAAATTTATTATTTCAGGTCTATTCTCTCCCCTATACACCAAGCTTGACATTGCCACATAGATGTTTAATAAACATTTCAAAGTTAACTTGTCCAAAACTGAGTTCCTAATCTCCTCATGGCCATCGCTCCCAAAACCTGCCTCTCCTATCATCTTCCCCATCTCAGCAAGCATGTGCTTCTAATTGATCAGAACAAAAATCTGAATGTCATCCCTGACTCGTCTCTTTCTATCACATTCTACATCTGATTCATTAGCAAATCTTGTGTAGTTTGTTGTCATAATCAGTATCCAACCAATTTTGATTACTTCTACCAACTATCATTCTGGGCCAAGCCTCCATCATTACTTTCCTGAATTACTTAAATAGGTTCTTAGCCAATATTCTTACTTCTTCTCTTGCCCTCCCTTCAGTCTAGTCTTTTTGCAGCAACCAAGAAGTCCTGTTAAAATATAAGTCATATCCGTTCTGTTCAAAACCTTCCAATGACTTTCAATCCTACTCAGGGTGAAACTAAATTCCTTACCATGGCTCAGAGTCTTATGTGATCTGGCCTTCTCTTATCTCTGACTTCATTTCCTCTCCCCTCACTAGATCCACTCAGGCCACAGTGACCTTTTTCTCTTCTGTTCCTGGAATATGGCAAGTAAATTCCTGCCTTACAGCTTTTGCATCTGCTGTCCCCTTTTGCTGGATACTCTTCCCTCAGACAGCCACATGACATTATTTCTTAATCACCCTCTTTTTTTTTATTTTATTTATTTTTATTTATTTGACAGAGAGAGAGAGACAGCGAGAGAGGGAACACAAGCAGGGGGAGTGGGAGAGGGAGAAGCAGGCTTCCCACTGAGCAGGGAGCCCAATGTGGGGCTCGATCCCAGGAACCTGGGATCATGACCTGAGCCGAAGGCAGATGCTTAACGACTGAGCCAGCCAGGCACCCCTCTTAATCACTTTCAATCCTGATTCAAGTGCCCCCTCAACGAAACCTTTGCTGGCCACTCCATTTAGTATTTCGAATTAACTCATATTACCTCCATCCTCCCTTAATGCCTTTCCTACTCTCTCTATCTACCTACCTACCTAAAAATGGAGTCGAAAAAAAAACCCTACTGGAGAAAGTTGATGGTCTTTTTAGAGTTACAGAAAGAAAAAAAAAAAATCTAACTTGGGGAATAAGAAAGGTAGATCAAAGTGAAAAAACTGTCGCTAATTTCTAGTGATAGATTTATGACATTTAAAAAGATAAAACCTGGGGCGCCTGGGTGGCTCAGTCATTAAGTGTCTGCCTTCGGCTCAGGTCATGATCCCAGGGTCCTGGGATCTAAACCCGCATCGGGCTCCCTGCTCAGTGGGAAGCCTGCTTCTCCCTCTGCCTCTGCCCCTGCTTATGTTCCCTTTCTTGCTGTCTATCAAATAAATAAATAAAATCTTTTTTTAAAAAAAAAGATAAAACCCTGGGGCTCAGTTGGTTAAGCGTCCAACTCTTGATTTCGGCTCAGGTTATGATCTCAGGCTCGTGGGATCAAGCCCTGTGTGGGGCTCTGTGCTCAGTGGGGAGTCTGCTTGGGATTCTCTCTCTCTCTCTCCCTCTCCCCACCTCCCCGCCCCCTCCCCGTGTGCATTCTCTCTAAATTAAAAAAAAAAAAAATCTTAAGAAGATAAAACCCTAAGGATAATACCATGGTTCCTTATTATCCCATATTAGTAAGGAAGGACAGGAAAAAAGGGTAAGAGAGGCAGGATAAATGTGACATGATACCCAGGAGTCCTATGAAAAGGGCAGATGACAGAAGAATCAACTCTGCTTGAGGACAGGATGTGGGGGGAGGCAGGGTATCAAGGACGTTCCAGAAGTGTGCTTTGAGGTGGGTTTTAAAGGATGGATGAATAGGAATTCAATATTAAAAAAATATTCTCGAAAAAATGAGGAAGAAATTTTCTAGCTAGATTCTAGTTTGTAAGCATACCCAATTCTTACAAAAACATGTAACAAACCAAATATAATAAAAACTCTTGTCCTCCAGATAAAAAATCAGAGTTGCTACATTTTTAGTTTATAATTTAGTAGCATAATGGTGCAAGTTTCTTTTTAAAGTAAATTATGACAATACTGTTAATATATAAGAATATATACCTTATCTCTTGCAGTAAGAAATCGCGGATCATCTTGAAAAGCTTCTTTGACGAGTTTACTAAATCTATTAAATAATGTAAGTAACTGCTCAACGTATTTCTCAGAGTCCTAAAAATAAAATGTTTTATACTCAATTGAGCTTTTTAAAGAGAAAGCATACCAAAAAATGAAAAAATATAAATGAAATTTTAATACACTACAGTTCTAGAATTTGGGAATTCTCTGAAAAACTTTTTTCTTGATGCTAAAAGGCATTCCAACATTACTGTTTTGTCATCAATTACTATTTCAAATACCCAATCCCGCATTTAAAGAACAACCCTGACACATATCCACCGAGGAAACTCACAGTAGTAATAGTTTCAGCAGCTGCCACCATATCTGCCAGGCCAGCACTAACGATATGTTCCTCCAAGTCTTTCAACATTGGCTCTATCCCACTGGGAACTTTGTCCATCAATGAAAACATTAAATGTAATTCTGAAGTGACAGAACACACTCATGTCATCATCTCATCCGTCAAAATAAATTTCTCTTTGATTTGTATCTTGGGTCTAGAATGCCTAAGACAGTAAAAGTCTGGAGAAATATTAGTTGGAAATTGAGAAACTTAGTAGTATTCTGTGGGTATAATTAAGAGTTCTTATAATAAGTACTATAACTTACTGATCCACCTTCTCTGACAAAATTTATTTTTAAAAGAAACTCTAATTAAAAGTAATCACACACCACAAAACCTAACTCCTCTTAAAAGGTGAGTCATTTGACCTTCAACTCAATGGAATATTTTATTTTTTTTACTTTAAATTCAATTAACATATAATGTATTATTAGTTTCAAGGTACAGGTCAGTGATTCCTCAGTCTTATGTAATACCCAGTACTCATTCCATCACGTGCCCTCCCCAATGCCCATCACCCAGTGACCCCATCCCTCCACCTCCCTCCCCTCCAGCAACCCTCAGTTTGTCTCCTAGGATTAAGAGTCTCTCATGGTTTGTCTCCCTCTCTGATTTTATCTTGTTTCATTTTTTTCCTCTCTTCCCCTATGATCCTCTGCCTTGTTTCTTAAATTCCACATATCAGTGAAATCATATGATAATGGAGTATTTTTGTATCTAAGAAGTACAAAAGTTTACTCAGAAGGGTAGTGTATTTTATAAGGTAGATACAATATTGAATACATAGCACCACATCATCAAGTGGCAAAAAAAAAAAAAAAAAAAAAATCACATCATCAGACTGTTCAAAGTGATTATAAAAGTGTATTAGAGATAATATAAAACTGTATTCATAGGGAATTTTTCAGTTTATAAAAGCACTTTCTCCTGTTATACCATTTTATTGACCTTCACAAAAATCTTACTGCACAGAATTGGTTACCACTAAATAAATTCTTTTGAAGGGAACCCAACATGGACTTAGAAATAACTCTGTTATACCATTTTATTGACCTTCACAAAAATCTTACTGCACAGAATTGGTTACCACTAAATAAATTCTTTTGAAGGGAACCCAACATGGACTTAGAAATAACTCTGTTTGGCCTAGCATACAAAAGTCCAAATATTTCATTTATGCCAATGAGCTTTTTAGTACAAAATTACAAGTGTATGAACCTAAGTGAACCGAAATACATACTTTAAATGCAACTAGAGATTAAACAGGACCTTTGCAATTATACACAATGAAACCTGGACAGGAACAGACCCAAATGTTAAAATATGGGTATTAAAGAGGGCACGTATTGAATGGAGCACTGGGTGTTATACGCAAACAATGAATCATGGAACACTACATCAAAAACTAATGATGTACTGTATGGTGACTGACATAACATAATAAAATAAAATCTTTTTTTAAAAACGTCATCTCCGTGTAGTTAGAAATATAGGTAACTTTTACCATATTGGTTGTAATGCACTCACAACCTCCCAAAATATAACTTTATTAAGAAAACACATCTGTAATAAAAAAGTACACTTGCAGAAATCTTAAATTGTAACATATTTTAGGGGAGAGGGACGAAGATCATTAACATGGAGTGTTGTATTACTTTCTAAAAATATTCGCCACAAAGTTCCAACAAAAGTCAAATACCTAGTTCTAGTCTCTCCCAAATGTTTATCATTTAAGTGAGTCTTTAAAAGCAGAGCCCTACATCTGAGAACAAACTGAAATCTACCCCCATCCTCTACACACAAGTACAGATACCTAAGAGTGGAATGTTTAAAATGTAAATTTATAACCTTCTTTACAGTACTGCTGTGTTAAATATTTTATCATTTTCTTTAAGCACAGTTTACTGTAACAAATATTACCTACACAGAAAAGGATGATCTAACAGCAACTTATTAAAAGTAATCAGCTTCAAAGATATCCTCTTAAAAGAATGAGAACTTTATGTGATGTTTTACCTACTTTCAGTTTCATTTCGCTTGATCATGCCTTGGCACTCTGCTAAGATAGTCTCTTTAAAGGATGTCACCAGGGCATTTACACAGCATTCCATGAGCTGAAATATATCAAAAATTGGTCAAGGCTAATAGAAGCACAAACCTACTCCACTCCACTTTGCTTTTTTAGCTCCATAAAACCATATTGTTCAACAACAGCAAAAATTAAGTATAATGAAAGTAGATCTTACTTACCTTTGCTACAGGGGCACTGAAGATGGATACTCTATACTAGTTCACCAAGGTATATTTACCCCAAGAAAAAGGCTACAGAACTTACGTTCTCTTTAGAAATTTTAATAGAAGTCCCCAAGGAGGGGAGGAAAAAAACTGGAAAATATACAAAGCAAAATGAAAAAAATAAACTTTGATGAATTCTTATCTGGAGAAAACATGTGTTAAAATTAGATTCTAAAATTCTAAATACAGTCATTCAACAAACCATCACTGGATGCCTACTTCGTGCAGGCAGCAGAGAAGTGGTTAGGAGACAAAGAAGACTAAGATATAACCCCTGCTTTGGAGGAGGAGCACTGTCTAATGAAGGGTAGGGGAGAAAGCAAACATAAACTAATAAATACAACTCAGTTAAGTGGCAAAATACACACATACACTCATACTCATGCCCAACAAACGAAAAAACAGGCAGAGGAACTAAATACTTCTGGGGTAGTTAAAAAAGTCTCAACTACAAGATGCAATCTAAATTGAATCTTGAAAAATAATTACAAGTCCAAAATGGATTGAGTATTCTAGGAATAAGAAGAAACTGAATATGGTAGGCAAGAGACAGAGAGTGGAAGAAAAAATGAGAAAGGCAGGCTGGAACCAGATTGTAAAGGAAAATCTATGGTTTGGGATTTTTATTCTATAGGTAGGGTAGGGAACAAAGAACCAAAAGTTTTAAACAGGAGATAAATGCAATGAAGGTCTACTCCCCCTAAGAGTGGACTGGTCAACAAGGCTGTTGAAATATTCTAGGTAACATGGCCAGGGTCTGGTGTTCTAGGCGGTCCTCAATAGAACCCACCCACCCCACCACTGCTCCCTCATGTCATGGAATTACTTATTCTTCTTGCAGGCATCAATTAAAATGAACAGGTCGTGAGCACTCAAGCACAGTACACCAAGGCTGATATATATCTTCTGAAATAAAGATCATCTGTCTGTACTAAGGAAGGGAATTATGTGCGTCTTAAAAGTTCTGTTAAAAATTCTCCTTGGAATTGACATAATGCTGATAATGACTGAAGCTAAATTTGGGTAATGGGAATTCATTATACTATTCTGCCTACTTTTTAAATGTTTAAAAAATTTCTGTAATAAAAAGCTTTTCTCAGGTCCCTTTTTGAGAATTATGCTAACAACTTTAAAAACCGTGGATGTCAATTTCCTAAGAGAAACAATACACACAAAAAGTGCTTGAGAATTTCTGCCTTGCCAAGGTGGGAAGGTCTGTCCCAACTCCTGAGTAATCTCCCCCGGTACCAGCTCAGACCACACGACCAAGCACTCCTGCCCACAGCAGCCAGGCCAGACTGACAACAGGTGAATCTAACTACACAGAACTCGGGGCAAGAGAGAGAAGGTGCAGTCAGAGTGAGACCCAAGCCTCTGTCCCTTCATCCCCAGTTTCTATTTCACTGAAAAGTCACAGCTGTGTGACTGGGTAGGAGTCCAACTTCTGCAAATTCCAAAACTCCAGCATGGGCTTCAAGCTGTTGTTCTGAAATGTGTTAATGGCTGTAACCAGCTTTCTTTAACAACACAGAACAGAACAGAAAAAAGCAGAGTACGTCATACATAGTAACAGTGAATGTTATTCCGTAGAACTTTTGCTCCAGATATGTGCAAATAAGCAGAGTGTATACTAAACCACAAAATAAAATGCCTTTCTTTTTGTGGGTTACAATGAGGATTAAAAGGAGAGGACAAGAAAATCGAAGAAACTAAGCAGAATCTAGTAAGTCTTAGATGACAGGAGCTAGGGAGTCTGTTGAGGCAGTTTCTGGTTTGAGAGGCTTAACTATTATAATAAGAGGTATCTTTTAATGAGCACTTAGTCTGTACCAAGCATTGTGCTAAATGCTTTACATACATTATCTTATTTAACCCCCATGACTGCCTTAGAAAGTAGGTATTTAACACATAAGGAAACAAGCTCAGAGAGGCTAAGTAACTTGCAAGTGTTACACAGTTAGTTAGTGTCACATGAGACCAGGTAGGTGACTCCAAAGTCTATAACTTCTGTTACTACATTAAGAGAGCAAGTATATATTTAGCGATGGCTACATGCTAACAACTGAATTGAGTGCTTTAAGGAATAGAGAAGTATAAAACATGGTTTATACCTTCAATAATCTTACAGTCCAGCTGGGGACATGTACGTACACATCTAAAAATCTGTGTATAATTCCCATATAACAGAGATACATTGAAAGAAGTTCAACTCGCAAATAAAGCAAAGAAGTGGAAATAAATACATCATTATGACACTATAAACTTCACAAGGACAGAGACTATGTTTGTCCATAGCTGTGTATTCATGGCCCCACAACAAAGCAGTCTATAATTTGCTACTAAACCTAGTGGTAAAAACAACAGGTACAGTGGAATTTGAAGTAAGAGGAAACTGATGAAGTCTACAGAATTTGCAGTGACTTTATCACAAGATGGACTATAAGAATTCTGAAGGATTTAAACAGGCAGAGGAAAAGTAGAAAGGAAAACATTAAGAAAACAAGTAAAAAAAATTCTTAAAAATGAATCCAAGGGAAAAAAATGAATAGAAAGAAGTTTAAGAATAAGGAACGATTTATTGGAGTTGAAGGACTCTTGCTGGACAGTATTAAGTTAGAAAAATAGGTTAGGGCCAAAATATGAAGAGTCTTGAACATCAGCTATAAGAAATAATGATACTATGGTTTCTGAATAAGAATAATGAAAGTGATGTTTATGAAAGATTAGCTTGAACTCACAAAAGAAGAAATATAATTGGCCCATAATAAGAATAAAAATATCTAGCCTCAATAACTTTTAAAGACACATAAATTTTTTTTTAAATCTACAATACTAGATTGTTACAATTAATAGACTGACAAAACCCAGATTAGCAAAGATAAACAGGCACATTGTTGATGGGAGTAAGAATTACTGCATTTCAGGGCACCTGGGTGGCTCAGTAGTTAAGCGTCTGCCTTCAGCTCAGGTCATGATCCCAGGGTCCTGGGATCGAGCCCCGCATCGGGCTCCCTGCTCAGTGGGAAGCCTGCTTCTCCCTCTTCCACTCCCCCTGCTATGTTCCCTCTCTCCCTGTCTCTCTCTGTGTCAAATAAATAAATAAATAAATCTTAAAAAAAAATTACTGCAGGGCGCCTGGGTGGCTCAGTCATTAAACGTCTGCCTTCGGCTCAGGTCATGATCCCAGAGTCCTGGGATCGAGCCCCACATCGGGCTCCCTGCTCGGCGGGAAGCATGCTTCTCCCTCTCCCACTCCCCCTGCTTGTGTTCCCTCTCTCGCTGTGTCTCTCTCTGACAAAAAAAAAAAAAATTACTGCATTTCTGAGGATCGGTTTGGTATTACTTAGCTATTTGTAAAGATGCATACCCTTGGCTTCATCATTTCCTGTAAATTCCATTCCAAGAGAATGCCCCATGTGCACATAAAAGTGTTAAAAAGATAAAGGCATGTAAGGATGTCCCAGGAAGTAATATTCATAAGGAATAAACTATAATAACAATAATGAAAATGCCCATCATTAGGTTAGGTGTATTTATGAAATATATATGATAAAATACAGGCATTGAAAATAATGTTACAATACACTTCTGTGTTATATAGGGTAAAATATGCATGACATCATAAATTTCTTTGAAATGATAAAAGGAAGGAAGGAAGGAAAGGGAAGGGAAAAGAGAAAAGAGAAAAGGAAAGGAAAGAAAACAGGCAAGGAGCAAGGAAACAGAACAAAACAATGATTGCAGCTGAAACCGGAGGCTGGCTGTGAGGGCTAGCGTTCGCTGTACTATTTTCTCCACTTTTGTAAATATTTGAAAACTGTCATAACCAGGCTTTTATTTTTTTAAATAAAGAGATTAATTATGGTCTAAATCCTTGTGAGATGAAAAACCCTTTAGAGAACTATTTCACTTGGGCAAAGAGAAGAAAGGGAGACTGCGTGGTGGTTTTCCCCTTGTTGCAAATGAGTCTTGTCTTTAAAAGAGGGTCAGTTCATGAGGGCAGAGACCATGTTACTCCTCTTTCATGTTTCTTTCCCATCATTTACCAAAATACTACACAGTCAACCCTAAATATATACTTATTTGAAAAATATGTCTCGAAGGGAAAGGGTAGTGATAAACCATCTCTCTCACCTTGTATTCCCTTTCTGTCTCCTTTTGCTAGCTTCCGTGAAGAAAAAAACTTTTTGCCACATGCCATCAACTCCTGTATTTTGCCTGAGATGAGCACAACTTCTAAATCCATAGAAATCTCTCCCCAGAGGTCTGCAAGGTGAAACACTTTAACTATCAATGTGCTTGATGTTTTACCTTTTCCTCTATAGCAAAACTCTTCAAAGATGATGCCTGCCATAAAACACAGCAGGCACTCAGTATTTGTTGAATGAATGGATGTATAGGTCTGTGAAGATGAAAGGTGGGACAGGCAGGCTAATTGATGGAGTAGAGTCCTTCTTTTACTGGTATTCAATTTGCACAATTAATTCTACTTCACTGAAATTTATTACAAAGCAACAAGAATGGTTCTAATTTTCGTTATTTAAATCTGTACAAGTAATAATTTGCTTTAGCTCAACTATAAAATAGGAGATGAACTAAAAATTATCCTAGGTTTCTCCACTTTAAGACTTTACTTTATCATTATAAGGTCTTTAACCATATAAGGAGATCTGTAATGTATTCAAGAATTAATTTATTCTATGCGTGGTAGGTTATTCTCAAAATTAATTTCCCTTGGCCTTTTTAGCTTGGTTAAGATTTCTTTATTTTACCATTATAACTAGTGGTACTTGTTTCATTTCTAAACTATTTACACAGT